TGCAGCCATCCCATATTCACTACCCAATCTGACTCCCCCCATCACCGCCTAAGTTTTCAAACTGTACACGTATTGTCCACCTCCCCCCCAATATACTAGTTCACTGTAATGACTTATTTTTATCATCTTGTGGTACATAAGCAGGTGCCTTTTAGATCATCTGGTCAAGTAACTAGCGCACAGTCCTACAGAATCCATGGCCTGTGTGTTACCACAGTCATATGCCACCACAAAACAAGGTAATGCAGGAAATGAGTAATAGCAGATCTATATAACTGATTCCATTTAAGAGTACCTGCTTTGATTTTCAAATGTATCACACTTGTGTAACTAGAGAAATGTGACAGAAAAACAGCCCTTCCAAGGGATTAGTAGCATGCTGACAAGCCCTGCTTTTAAAAATAAAAATTGTTACATACTATAATTACATTGTAAGCAGTTTGTATATTACATCATACATCAGATTGTTAGGGATTTGATTTTTATTGGTTTTCTAACTTATAAACATTTCCATGTTGTTATTAAAAGCTGGGAAAACACAAGGAGTTCAGTTTCATATTTACACATTTAAAACATTAATAGGAATTTCTAATAAAATCAACTTATGTTTCCCAAACATACCTTGCACTCAGATTACTGTTCTTTTTTCCCTGTGTTTTTTTTTCAACTGATATATTAAAGCAAAATTATTTCTTCTGACATCCTATACTGTCTTCATTTTTTCAGTTTATCAAATACAATTTTGAGGTAACTGGTTTTAACATAGAAGATTCAAGTAAATAGCACTGTAAGTCACCATGCACATACATTCTACCAAAGCTACAGATACATGCTTCATCCATGTAACAGAGGCCATGCTAATCTCTGTGTCATTTCAATTTTATCTATGTGTCACCAAAGTAAGCACCACTATGCTTTTATCCAATCCTCCACACCTTGAAACATCTGGTTTTAGAAAATTCAAAGCCTGCATAAGTGCCTAAACAGCATTTGGCTCCCCAAGGAAAGATTTGTCTTATTTACATGTTGAAAGTCATAGCTCTAGAACTGCACTGTCCAGTATGGTAGCCACTAGGAATATGCAGCAACTTAACTAAATAAAAACAAAAACTCACTCGCTCAGTCACACCTGTTACATTTACAAGTGGCTGGTAGCTAGAATATAATTTCCATAATTATATGCATTTCTATTGAGTGGTGTTGCTCCGTAACTTCTCCCAGTAAGTTCTGAGAAAGCTGCTTAAATATCAATTCAATGTTGATGATTTCCAAGTCTTCGAAAATTAGCTTAATAGAACATCTTTGATAACCTACTTGGATATCAACTCTATCTTTCAACTGAAGAGGTGGCTATAGTGGCAGGAATTACAGCAGTGGCAAGAAAATCAACAGGTATAATATAGGAACAGGTTTTCAGGATAAGGCTAAGACTGAGTTTGAGACAGCAGAAAAGTACTGCAAAAACAGTACTAAACAGTAATTGAAAGGTAATGTGCTCACTCCTTTGTACTCACCCATCCTAAAATATTCAAAGACCACTTTGCAAGATCAAGAGATATCTTTGCATTCATTCTAAAGATATTATTCATGCAAGTAAGTTCACCTGCTATGAAAGCTGTATTAAGATCAATTTATAAATATAAACACAATAAAGCCTATCTTAAGGTTTAATTACATTTATGGAGAGTGATTAAAAAAAAAACCTCAAAAATAACACAATGAATAATGCAGTTCAGTCAGATTTACAGCTATGCAATACAATTCATATTCCTATTCATCACTTTATGTCTCCCAACTTCCTCTATCCTCTGTTATTAAAAAAAGACAGTACAAGATCTTTATTTGTTCACTTAGCAAATATTTATTGCATTGTTAAAGTTCTCGTTCTCTGCCTGATCCAGTATAAGAATTGGAAATAACTTTCCCCTCAATGTTTCCATATACAGACACTGTTGTCTCCTGAACACCACCAAGAAGCCACACTGCAGGCCCATCCTATTAACTTTTAAGTTGCTTGTTGTGCTAGCACTTTTTCTAAATCACATAGATTAGTCACTGCTATGTATCTCTATTTAGTCTGATACCATTCTTATGCTGCTAAATCAACAAAAAAAAACTTTTAAAAAGTTGAAATATGTTCATTTAATAGAAGAAAAGCTTCATGTTTCCAATATCTAATGAATCCTCTTGACAACTGTCAGTGACAATTGAGACAAGCCATCTCCCAGACCGTAGTCTAATGAGACATCCTGATTTGCTTTCTTTAGTCCCAGAAAGGGATACAAATTTCTCTTCTAGAGGGCTCCTAATATTTTACATCAACATATCCCACTGGGTATTATGAAGGCAAATAAGTAACTGATGATGAGAAGAAGTCACTAACAAATAAACTGGTCACATCTCTGAATACCTGGAGAAGTTATGAACCCATCACCAAGTCTGCTGTGGCATAAAAGAAAGGAACTGTCTCCAGAGTCTAGGATCCTGGGAATGTGGAATTCCCTGGGCATACAAGGAAGACATGTCACATTTTGAATGTTTGGTTCATCATCCATTAGGGGAAGAAAACAGATGACCTTGTTACTGTAAATGCTCGGTAAGATCAACTGCACTGTCTCCTTGCCAGGCCCTTTAACACTATTATTAACTAGCCACAAATATGTTTTCTGCTTTAGAGAGCTATTTAAAAGTGGCTGTTATTCAAAAAATACCTTATTTTTTAAAATGTGAAATTCCATTTCTAGCTACATTAATAAAGTCAGAAGCAAAACTAAGATCATGTCCCCAAAAATTTACATAGAAAGCTTGTGAAAACAATGACAATGAAAGATGTTTCCAAAATAAAATGATGCATTAATTTATTTAATAAATATTTATGACCACCATCACCACCTGGAATGAGGTGGATGTTAAATAAAATAAACATGAAACAAGCATTTATTAAGTACCTACCTTGTGCTAGGCTTTGGACTATATTACAAAACAAACAAAAAAGAAATGGTCCCTGCCCTCATGGAGCTCACAGTCTACTCGAAGCAGACAAACTCACAAATACAGTGGTAAAGCACCAGGGAGGCTTATGGAAGAAAAAAATTGGTTCTGGCTGGAGAATGCAGGGCAAGCTTCAGAGAGATGCAGGCAATGGAGCTGGCTTGGATGAGTAGGCGTTCGCCAGATGAAGGGGAAGGGGGGGAAGCGCATTCCAAGCAGAGGAAACAGCGTATGAGCAAGCAGGGTCTTGAAAGCACATGCCATGGCGCAGGCTGATGAGCGGTCCAGCACGGCTAGAGCAGAAAGGTGCACACAAACTGAAGAGATGGATTAGGTTTGGGTTTTAGGGAATTGTAACAATCAGGGAACATATTACATTAGTATAGCTTAAGCTTAATTGTGATTCTGGTAACAAGTGTAGTCTGAAAGCATCCCATTCATTTAATAAATATTTGAGTCCCTTCCAGAGTAGCATTGGAGTTTTAGACAGGCAGTTTTAGAAAAAAAAAAAAAAATCTTAATTTCCCTCTGTACATTTAAGAAACAAAGCCAAAAAAAATTTTTTTTAAGTTTTTTTTAAGCTGAACTCACAGAGCTTTGCTGTAACACATTCATGGTCCTAACTTTTGTTAACTTGAACTCCCTCTGTTCTGACCACTATGTCATCCTTCTCAATACCTTTCAAAACTATCAACTCCAAGTATCTTCACAGTTAATCAACAGAGGCAATTTCAGCCTCCTTTTCTCAGGCTGCCTCTCTAAACAAGGTGCTGGCCAATGTCTTTACAAATCAAAGCAAGGTGACCAATGCAAGAGGTAAGGAAAAGTATCGATTTTTGGAAATTAAGCTACTATAAACAAACTACTAAGCCAAATTCTGCATAAAGAGACACTAAAGCAGAAACCCCATGCCCTTGAGAATAGTAAAAAGATAGGAAGAGATGGGTCAGAGAGTTTCCTACACTGGCCTCCAGGCAACACTGTTCAGAGACAGGCTGGAGTTTAGGAAGGTGCAATGGAAATGGAAAAAACTAACATGGTCAACTATTTTTGCTAGATTCTCATAATTCCTATTTACTCCTTGCAATAATGCTAAGGCAAAGCTTTTATCACCTTAATTTTAAAAATAAGAAGCCTGCAGTCATCAGTAACATTGCCCAGGCTGCATGAGCTGCTACGTGGCAGGGCTAATACACCAGATCAGGCTTGCTGTGTCCAGAGTGCTTCTTGCCCGACTATGCTACCTCAGGGTTTCTAAAATGGAGACAGCATTCCAAAGGGGCTTGCAGAATTATACAGTTCTTATCTCTTAAAAAAAAAGGCCTTATTCTCTTTCCTCATTTTCACAATCAGTGTGAGACTATGGTAGTAACAACACACATAAACATCTGTCTCTGAAATTTAGAGGGAGAAAAAATTAGCTGCCACTGCGATTGGGAAAAGTATTTCTTTGTAAAGATACCAGAAGCTTTAATACAATTAAGTTTGCATCATAGTTCAACTGCTTCTTGTTTAAATTCATATGCAATATACCATCAACTAAGTAGCTCAATAAAGATAAGAATTAATGGAAAATCTCCAGAGTACTCGGGTAAGAATATTACTCCTACAAGTCATAATCTTCAACACATTAAAAGTCAAAATAAAAATTCCTAAGTGTATGTGCCACATTACAGTTCTGCCTGTTGTAGGGCAACGGGAACTATTTTAAGCGGGGGGGGGGGGGGGGGGAATGGAGACAATTAATATCAAGAAAGAATACTCTGCAAAGTCTCAATGGGGCAAAAGTGTGCTGTGAGCTAGCCCAAAGAGATAATGAATTTTTTTGTTACTTATGCTGTCTCTTTATAAGTATTACCAACTAGCAGAAAATCAATCAGATTTTTAAGTCAAAATATTCTATAGAGGGAGGGGGGAGAAAACATTCAGACAAGCAAGATTCCAATGACATAGGTACTTTGGGAAAGCTTTTAAAATGGCATATGTTATAAGTAAATTAAGCAACCAACCTTATTTTGATTGAGAGGATCATTCCGCAGTCTCTGTTTGTTCTTCTGTAATTTACTAGGCATCATCTTTCCAGTTCTGAAGTCAAAACTGCTGAGGTCAACAGTATTTCCCAGGTACCTGGCCAACTGAGGTTTGCTTCTGAACTTCTTACCACTCGGACTGGAAAAAAAAACATTAATTGTACAAGACAAAATTTACCCCAGTTCTCTACATAAACCTTTTCTTCTGGCTTCCTCTCTCTTCTCTACTGTTATCACATCATGATGTTATGGTTTTATCCAAAAGAAGTGTTAAAGTTTTAAAGGAACTTTGTGACATCTCTGTAAAAGTGATAACATGCCATCTAACATGACACTCCGCTGAACACACCACTGCAGCACATAACAGATGTTGATACAGATAACCCCACTGTAACTCCCTCACCAACCACTGAGAGTCCCAACACTAACTGCAGGGCGCAGCATAATAAGCAATGTCTTCAATCTTACAAACTTTTTTCCAAATTGACTTTTGAAATGCTTTCTTTCCTGTATATATTACAATAACACAATGCCAGCAGTAAGCCCAAAAAACTTCAGAACAAATTATTCTAAAACCAAAACCTTTATTAAAACACACAAACATGTAGGACTATATAATCTTTGAGTTACAAATCTGAACTCATATTTACAACAGAAAAAAACTGTTGAAGTTTGACAATATTTAAAGGGGAAAACTAAGGCAAACAAACATTTACAAATGTTTTTGGATAATACTGCCATGAGTTTTGTTAGCTAAAGTACCTTAGAGAAGCCTATCAATAATTTACCTCTTGTAACAAATACTGTCAAATTTGGGAAATGACACAAGTGCTAGAATTAAATAGAGGGCTATTTAGGAACTAGTCTTTCTTAAAACAAACAAAAAACCTTTCCTCTAGGGCACTGATCTGTAAGAAAATATTTATAGGAAAAAAGCCCCACAGTGTTATTTAATAAATTTTCTGAGTCAAATGTGCTAGAATAAACTGTTAGAAGTGGCATGGCATGCCACTAGAAAAGAACTGTGAAAGGTCTCCAGTAGCTCTCAAAGAAGCCAATATGTTATATTTAGAACTAAACCCTGCATCAACGGTCCATGAATAAAGAAAAATAATTCACAGAAATACAAAAGAAAACTGTCCCCCTGGAACACCAAAAATTCACTCTCCGATGATCCAAACCAACACATCCCAGTTGGTCACAAACTATGGTTCTGCTGCCACCAACTTGAAGATAACTGAAGATCCTATTAATGTTGTTTTTCCACAATTAATGTGACAGTTATTCCTGAAACACTTCCCAATGTATATAATTCAGCCTACAAATGACAGTAACAACCAGAAAGTAACAAAATAAAACAAAGTAGACATTAAGCAACCAGAAAACACCAGAAGAATATTGGATTCTGTATAAGCAAACCTCAGCACTCATTCTATCCAGATTTCTAAACATGTTCGGTATTAAAAAAAAGAAGAAGAAGAGCGGCATGTAACTCTCAAAACTGTCAAAAATATTAGTCATTTGCATCCTCTCTATTCACTACATACTTCTACCCCACACAACTGATCTTTCTTTTATTAGCCTGTCATGGCATCACTGCCCACTAGCTACACTAGCTAGTACAGGTGAAAGGCCCCTAGCAATGCTTCAGTACCCTACCCCTCAGCCACACACCCAGTACCAAGTTCTAAATGTGCAGATTACATTTATATTTTGTCAATGTTGACAAAATAGCTTTATCTTCTTGGTAATCCTCCTGTCCCATTCAGAAATAACACTACTATTCCTGCAATTCTATTTCATTACAATTCTTATATATTCCTCTAATGCAACAACCAACCAAAATTCAAAATGCCACTGTTTAAAGCCCTCAAGAATAAGTAGTGCACAACAAAGTAATTATCTCTAAACAAGATCGTTTACAGTTGAACAGTAAAGATTTGTTAAATTCTATGTTTATTTAAAAATCATGTTGCTGAGTTTGATCCCTGGCCGGGAGGTGATCCATATGGCACAGAAGACCTCTCCTGACCCGCCCTCTGCTCCCCTCAGCAGTGTACTTTCTCAGTCGGCCCTTCTGCTCTGCTCCCCGCTCTGTCTCTGGTGAATCCTCTATTCATTAGATGTGACTGCATGGCTTATATTCTAGATCAGCAATTTAACATGACTTAAATAGTGCCCATACTTATTGATTTTGAACTGGATTATATGTAAGAAAAGCCTGATACAGTCTAAGAACTAAAGGAAGAAATCAAGTTTCAACTACTAGCAAATGCAGAAGAAATTTAGAGTATCAACTGGTATCCAGTCAGTTCTTACTCATACTAAATCACTGCCTCTCATCATCACAATGGAATTTAGAAAGCCTTTACACTGGATAGCACTACAAGTACTGATCATATACACTACGCCTTCACAACTGTGGGACATTTTCCTCTCTCTAACTGCTACTGCTCTTACATGTTTTTTTTTTTTTTTTTAAAGGCAACCTAGCTACAGCTACTACCCCCAAGGGATTTTAAGACCAGGGACCTTCTTCCTCTAAGCTGAAGGCAAGTATCAGGGGGGCAAGGCTCAGGGGAATGAAATGGTTAAGCAGGTATCTGCCTGTCAAATACAGAACATCTGTACTGTCTGTGGCAAAATGACCCTTGAAGTGGTTAAGGAAGTAACTGAAAATGATTGTACAGTTACTTGTACTCTGGTACTAGCCAGAGTGACTAATTTTTATCATGTTTGTCCTCTAAAATGGCTGCTATATGCCCCATATAAGATACACCAAGACTTAACATGACTAAGGGCTAACTTAAGGAAATTACTTTTTTTTTACTCCAGTAGTCTAGTGAAGGATATTAGTCATTTTTAGTTTTCTCTGCACAACGTCATTACTTCTAGTCCCCGTAATGAAATACTAGTATCTCACTTTCAACCACAAAAAAATTTCCCTACCAACTGCCCTCTAGATTATGTCTGCCCTGAACCAACTTATGATCTCACCTTTAACTTCTCCTACCCACTAAATATTTTAAAGAATACAATGATTAAATAAAAATCAAAAACATGTTATATTTTTCCAGTTCATATGAGAACAGCCCATTTCTTGAACTACACCTTTGCCTGCTTTCATTCTGATTAAACTAGTTAAAGTGTTTCTTAAACCTTAGACATTTCTTTCAGTTTTCAAAAAGAAATTTTATTTGGCACATTAAGGTTTTATGTTAAAATCTTAAAAAGTTTAATTGGGATACAAAAATATTTGAAATGATGTTCACTGTAATTCAGTGATACCCATTTTATTACTGCAGCCATTGCTGGAAAACTGGGAAACTGGAAAACTGACACATCTTGTCAGTCTACACTGTAGAAATCAAACCTTTAAAGATGCACATGAACCTGCACTCTTAACACATTCATCTAAAGGGACATATACTTTCTTTTTCTTTCTAAAGATTTACTTATTTGTGCATACAGAACTGGGGTACAGGCCAGAGGTGCAGGGGCAGCAAGAGGATTCACCAGAGACAGAATAGGGAGAACAACAGGCAAATCTACTGAAATACACTGCTGAGGGGTGCAATGGGGAGAGAGGAAAGGTCTGCTGTGCCATGTGGGTCAGCTCCAGGGCAGGGATCAAACTGGCACTGAAGCGGCCACTTTCAGCACTCCAACCCACTGTGCCACCGAGGGTGAGGCGCGGGGGGGGGGGGGGGGGGGGAGCAAGGGACATATTTTTTCATGTTACTTTGGGAACACAGATAATCATAGTGTTTGGTCAAACTAGAGACCAGACACTGAGCATGAACAAATGCATCTTCATACCCATTTCTACCAGACTGAGCTGCGGGGGTGATGATATTCAATGGAATAAGAACTTACCTATAAGTACAAAGAGAATGACAGATCTAAGATCACAGAGCATGTTCAAGGACACATCACTCTCAAACAATGTCAGGAAGTATGAGAAATAATAGTATTTCTATTAGCAAGTTTATTTGCATTCTAAACTATCTAGACTACTCTTCCTAAAACACCAGTAAGATCACATCTCCAGTTTAAAGCCTTCAACGGACTTCAATCCATAGCAAAGGAAGCCAGACTTCATAATTTATGCATCTGAGATCCTTTTTCATGGAGTCTCTCCTTAACCTTTCAACCTTACACAGTGACCTCTGCGCAAGCAAGTATTGGTTTCACACTGCAATCTGAAAAGCAGTTTCCCTCTTTAGCTCTTCGCAAACCAAGTAATGTACCTAGGTCTATAACACAGTTTTCCACTCCCAATTCTCACGAGTTGAAATTACCAGAAATATCAATCCACCTTGGGCTCCTCTGTAAAACCTTAGCAGAATAACAGGAATATTTTCTAACTCTGAAATATAGCAATTTTGCCTTTTTCAGGCAAATGATCAGCAGTAAAGCATCTTCTGTATTCTAATTTTCAGTTCTATAGGATTATAAAACTTACAATGTTGAAATCTTATCTTCACCAATAGCATATTGAAGTAGTTATAAATGAAATGAAGTCCTATTTGCTTCAAAACTTAGGGGGGAAAGGATGTTCTGAACCAACTCCACAAACAGGTTTTATGGACCCCACCCCTCTAGACCAAAGAGCAAAGACAGCAAGGACTAAAAATCCCACGTCATGGCCATTGAAGGGAGGCTGCTGGGAACTAGGCTGAGTTACTCAGCCTGGTTTGGTACATAACCAGATATCTGGGCCTTGGGAACCTTGGTTTTACACCACCAGCTTTCAGCATGCTTGAGGTTCCAGCTCAGCGGAACTGGTAGGACATGTTCACCATTATCTCTCTCTCTCTCTTTCCCCCTGAGTTATTCATTTCTTTATATGAATAACTTTTGTAAATAACCCCTTTATACCCTTTGTGTGTTTGCCTGCAGTCCTATTGTAAGTCCCTTTTCAGCACGCTGGTGCAGACCCACAGTCAGGTCTACCCATTTCACACTGAAGTTGCACTGTAACAAAAATGATGAACACTGTGTCGGGGTAACAATGAAAACTGCTCTGATGACCACATTCGTTATACTTTTCTATCTACTTTTACTTTTGCAATACTCAAGTTCCCAAATAAATTACTTAAATTTATATTACTTAATAAGATAAGGCAAAAATCAGAA